CCTTCACCATAATGGTACGCATACCATCCCCATGATCAATCGACTTCAATCTAACTAGCTCAGGTTGCTGGCGAGTCTGGTCTCGGAAAGACCACCTTCATCAACACCCTCTTCTCCACCACCATCAAGAACTACGCCGATCACAAGCGACGACACCACAAGCAGATGGACAAGACCGTCGAGATCGAGATCACCAAGGCCGAGCTCGAGGAGAAGTTCTTCAAGGGTATGCAGCGCCATCCTGCCATTCGTTATCTATGCTAACGCACCTAGTCCGTCTGACCGTTATCGACACCCCCGGTTTCGGTGACTACGTCAACAACCGCGACTCGTGGCAACCCATCATTGAGTTCCTCGACGACCAGCATGAGTCGTACATGCTTCAGGAGCAACAACCGCGCCGCTCCGATAAGATCGATCTCCGTGTCCACGCCTGCCTGTACTTCATCCGCCCCACCGGCCACACCCTGAAGCCCCTGGACATTGAGGTCATGAAGAAGCTGTGCACACGCGTCAACTTGATCCCGGTCGTAGCCAAGGCCGACACACTGAGCCCAACAGACCTGGCCAAGTTCAAGGCGAGGGTAAGTTGGTCCATCTACATGCCACCAGCAAATACTGACCGCTTTAAGGTGCGCCAAGTGATCGATGCTCAGGGCATCAAGATCTACACTCCCCCTCTCGAGGATGACGACGCCGCCGCTATGCAACACGCACGCGGTCTCATCGACGCCATGCCCTTCTCCGTCATCGGTTCCGAGAAAGATGTTCAGACCAACGACGGCCGCACCGTTAAGGGTCGCCAATACGCCTGGGGTGTTGCCGAAGTCGAGAACGAGGAGCACTGCGACTTCAAGAAGCTCCGCGCTATTCTCATCCGAACCCACATGCTCGACCTCATCCACACCACGGAGGAGAACCACTACGAGGCCTACCGCGCTGGCCAGATGGAGACAAGGAAGTTCGGCGAGGCGCGCCCAAGGAAGCTGGACAACCCCAAGTTCAAGGAGGAAGAAGAGGCGCTCCGCAAGCGTTTCACCGAGCAGGTCAAGGTTGAGGAGCAGCGCTTCAGGCAGTGGGAGCAGAAGCTTATTGCTGAGCGTGACCGCCTCAACAAGGACCTCGAGGCCAGCCACGCGGAGATCAAGCGTCTTGAGACGGAAGTGGACAGCCTCCAGGGAAGCATCAACCGCTCTCACGGCCGTCGCTAGACGCACCTTTTGGCGTTGGTGGTGTTGCACGTACAGAGATGGTGCAGCGATTCAGCATGGTCGCACTAATTCTCCACATTCTTCCTTCAAGATTCCCCTTTCTGTTTCCGTAACTTCGGTTCTCATATGTCTGTAATGTCGCGCCGCCGTGAGGATCACTGTAGGCGACGCGTATCTAGGCTTGAGCTAAAACAGCATGTCATAGCTTATAGTTGTATAACTTGGTATTAATCTATTATGAAGACCGCTGGTCGCTAAGTCTTGTTCTTGGGTATAGTGATGTTGAGAAGGTAGACTTAAACCTGTAATCCGCCAAATACCCTGTCCAGCTCCTCGCCTTCTTGTGCCTTGCGCTCCGCCTGCGGGTCTAGATCCATCAGGTTCTGCTCCGGCACCTTTTCTTCCTTAGCCGACTCATTATTATCGCCAGGTCCCTCCGGCTTAATAATATGCACACCACTGTCCAACCACCCAGGCGCAACCCTCCTCTTCTCCGCGAGATCCTCCTTCCGCCGCCTCTCCTCCCACTCCGCCATCGTCCTCCTCGCGTCCGCTTCTAGCTTAGCAAGGTGCTCTTGTAGCGCAACACACGACGTGAGTATCTGGTCTGGATGCGCTGATGTGCCCGTTGACGAGGTGACGTATGCTGGTTTCGAGGCAGAGGCGTTGGGGTTGGACGGGTCTTGTTGTTGCTGCTGCTGGGAGAGGATCGAGGGAGGCAGCGTCGACGGGAGGGTTACGTAGGAGTATGGCAGGGGGACGGATGTGGGGAGGGAGAGGAAGGGCGAGAGTGTTAGGGGGACTTGGGCGAGGAGGGGGTGGGGGTCTGTGGGAGTGGTGTTAGCGAGGTTCGCGCGTGTTGTGCTGGGTGGAGGGACGCGATGCGATGCGACGAGTAGTCACACTTCAGAGCTCGCATGTCCGAATGAGACGATGCCGAGGTCGCTAGTGATCTCTCAACATGCTCTCAAGCGGCACCCTCGCACTGGAGCTCACAACTGGTCGCATGGTCTGGCTATGCGCGCGCATTGCGCTGGGTGTGCATTGTAGCGGGGAAGAGGAGCACTCACGTTCGTCGTGCATATTCGATATGGCTATACGCGTACGTCAGGGTCCGTCGATTTTGCCAAAGTAGCAGTATCAGGGCGTATATTCGGTCTTGTCGAGTACGGTGGGGCGTAACTTTGCGGGAACGGTGTTGCAGGGCTTGGGGTTGTGGAGGCACGAGGTGTTGGTGGGGAAGCTCCAGGTTGAGTGGAGCTGCTGACGCAGGTACGGAGTTCCAAGGTTCCACGGTTGGAAGCTGCGGTCACGCGTTATGCATGTGAGATAGATGCGGGCAGATTGTTTGTGGGGTGCATACACGAAGACAGTCTTGGGGAACGGTTTATCTTGCGTGTTGATGGGGAAGTCATTTCTTGTGGCATTATGGATGGATCTTGAGTGTAGCGAAAGTGTATCTATATTTCCACTACCCTTTCACTAGATTGCATTTGGGTTGGATCTTGTATGTACTTGACGCAACAAGAAGAAGAGAAGTTTATGTATGTGTGCGTGAATGTCCCCCATGTTTGCCTACCTGATCTTGGCAGAGCAAGTGAATGGTCTCGGACCGGGAATTGTGTAGCTGGTCGGGATCGGCCAGTACAGTTGAAACTTAATCCCCGGGTCAGTCGCTTTGTATGCACCTGGAAAGCTGACAGTCGCCGGACTGGCACTGCCACCTCCTGTCACATTGATTTGAGCACACTCCATATAGAGTTGAGCACCGGGGTAGTTTGAGGCGGCATGGAGAGCAATGAGCTCTGCGCGAAGGAGGTACCTGGAAAGACCCGTGTCAGTCGACCATATAGATTTGGTAAGAACTTGGAGATGACTTACTGTCCACTGGGTATGCACGACGGCAGTACAAAGTCTACCAGGCCCTTGTTGTTATACAGTCTTGTAACGGCCCACTCGCCATTGGCATCCATACCATCCTCGTAGATCTTAAACCACTTGAGTCCCGTCACTTTGGTAGACAAGGCATCATCGACTCTGGCAAGGTAGACCATGATGGGTCCCAGATGACCGGGGTCAATTGGATCTGACTTGTCCGTCTCGGGCTTGGAATCGAGCGTGTGGTGCCACTCGGCAGTGAGCTTGTCTCCAGCTTTGACCTGACAAGGAGTAAGCCGAAGCCATGTGGCGTTATTGCTTATTGCGCAACCAGCGTACATTGATGATGTCTTTGGGAAGAGGCGTTCTGTAGGGGTTTATGCTGAATGCGGGTCAATCTAGCGCTTGGTTCCACGCTTTGTAATGCTTTACCCGCCATTACAGATCACATGGTTTGATGTAACGTCCGTTATTGGTCTGGAAACGTAAGTGAGTTGGAGTTCAAAAGGCGATTGCGGGGTGCATTACCCGTCGTAGGTCTGTGTCGTGCTGTTAGCAGGGGAGCAACATGGGAATCGTGAACATGCTCACCGGCACTCGAATCCCCTTAGTGTGTCCTTGCGCCACGCCATTGACGTGTAGCTGGGTGAAAATTGTGTGTGCCGAAGCGCTGGCCAGTAAAGCACAAGTAAACGCATAAGCCTTCATCATGTAGGCTACTACGTTAGATCCTGAATGTCCTCATCAACGCGTCGATGAATCTTCCTATATGCCATTGTTGTGCACCGTTCTCAAGCTGTCCAAATGGAACACGGCATTATTGTTCAAATCTGGTCGACCTTCCAGTTCGGCACGCATGCGACTCGCGGTAGACTCGCGTGACCAGAGACACTTTAATCCCAATCTATTTCGCCCGCCGTAACGCACTTTTGAAAATATACTGTGTATGCACGAGACACGTGCTTCGTGGATTCTTCAGAGCATAGAACCCTCGGCATATTCCAAATAGGCAACGAGCACCAATGCGGTCGTGACTGCGCGTTCTTTGAACCGGCGGTTGGGTGGAAAAACCGCAGTATTAATTACAGGGAGGAGGATATGACCGAGACATGCCGCGACACCGTGGCGCGGCTCTTGGAATGTGGGAAGCGAGAGGAGGAATGCGTAATATAATAGATTGTGTGTTACTGGTCTGGTCAAGTGTTTCAATCAATGAAACGTGCGCGTCTTGTCGGTCAGCGAGAAGGCTTGGAAGCCGTCCTTCATTTTGGGGCAGCCTTGCGGAATATGCGGGAAGAAGCCGGTACCGAGAAGGCTGTGGCGGTTGCACGAGGTCAAGGGCACAGACTTGATAATCCTTCCGACGAAGCTGGTGGTGCAGATGGTGCATTTGAAGAGGCTGATGCGAGGCGAAAGCGCGAAAGTGACGGTCCATCCCACCAGCCACTAAACGATTGTGGGGAAGCCTGGGCCCGAACGGGCAAGGGGCACATGGCTAACGGCGATGCTAAGTCGCAGTCCCGGCTTCTGTCAATCTACATCAATCAATCCACCCATGCCGCCGTAGTTTCGACATATTAACGACTAACCTTGAATCTCGGCCAGATCACCTACGTTTTGAAACAGCCAATGACGATGTCGCCCACGGTAATCACGCCCCTCGCTTGGCCCATCCTAGCCAGCGCGCGTCTTCCGTACCTGGTTCAATGCGCACTTCTGCCGCCTCCAGAAGGAAGTTCCCCAGGTAGTGGCTTGGCCACGGGTGTCAACCCCATACACGGCGGCGTAGTCTAGCATGATGTTGATATGTATATAACACGTCCGCACCCTGGCATAGCGATAGAGGCCACAGCTACAACTTGCGCTTGTCAATTCATCTCATCTTCGACGTGCTGGTAACAAGTCTCCAAGATGAAGACCTCTTCTTTCGTTCGAGCGGCTTCGCTGCTATCCTCTCTTTTCGCCCCTCTCGCTCTTGCGCAGGAAACGTTCACCCACGAAGGCACCGGTATTGAGTTCTGGCGCCAGACAGTCAGTGACGCCCAGACTGCAGGTGGTTTCGAGTGGGGTTGGGTACTGCCTGGAGAGCCTACTGGAGCCAACGACGAGTACATTGGTTACATTGTAAGTTATAGCAAGTCTGTGTCGATGCTGCAGCCGCTAATGTTCCCCAGAAAGGTTCGCTCGAAGCAAACAGGCAGGGATGGTCCGGTGTCAGCCATGCTGGTGGCATGCCAAACTCTCTTCTCCTCGTTGCATGGCCGGAAGAAGATGCCGTCAAGACCAAGTTTGTCTGGGCAGGTGGCTATGTCGCTCCTGAGGACTACACTGGCAACGCGACTTTGACTCAAATCTTCCACTCCGTCACCGACACACACTTCGAGATCGTCTACCGATGCGAGCACTGCTGGGTCTGGAACCAGGGCGGTGCTGAGGGCTCTCAGCTTCCCACTACTGAGGTCAACGTTATCGGTTGGGCCCAGCATGACAAGATCTATGACGGTACCTGGGTTTTCCACAACAAGGGACAGTCTCAGTTCGGCGCTCCTACCGCGGACGCGAGGAACGCAAAGTACACCGACTACCTCAAGTTGGTAGGTGGCCAGCCTTCTGGTGCACCTACACCGACCAAATCTGGTCAGCCATCGGCTACGCCCACTCCAACAGCACCTGTCAAGTGCCAGGGATCGCCTGCTCCTTCAGGCTCCTTCGACTACATCGTCATTGGCGGTGGTGCTGGAGGTATTCCCGTAGCAGACAAGCTTTCTGAGTCTGGCAAGAGTGTTCTCATGCTCGAGAAGGGCCCGCCATCTCTCGCCCGTTTCGGAGGAAAGATGGGCCCTGACTGGGTCACTAGCAACAACCTGACCCGCTTCGACGTCCCCGGTCTTTGCAACCAGATCTGGGTTGACTCTGCCGGTGTAGCTTGCACTGACATTGACCAAATGGCTGGCTGTGTTCTCGGTGGAGGCGCTGCTGTCAATGCTGCGCTTTGGTGGAAGCCTGTTGATGTTGACTTCGACTACCAGTTCCCCAACGGCTGGAAGTCAGCTGACGTCAAGGGCGCAATCGACCGTGTCTTCAAGCGCATCCCGGGTACCGACACTCCCTCCGTCGACGGAAAGCGCTACAAGCAGGAAGGCTTCGATGTCCTATCTGGTGCACTTGGTGCAGATGGCTGGAAGAGCGTCGTCGCGAACGACCAACAGAACCAGAAGAACCGCACATACTCTCACTCTCCCTTCATGTACGACAACGGTCAGAGGCAAGGTCCTCTTGGCACTTACATGGTCTCCGCCCTTGAGAGGAAGAACTTCAAGCTGTGGACCAACACGATGGCCCGCCGTATCGTTCGCACCGGTGATACTGCTACTGGCGTCGAGCTTGAGAGCGGTGTTGGCGGCACTGGCTACTGCGGTACTGTCAACCTGAACCCTGGAGGCCGTGTCATTATTTCCGGTGGAGCTTTCGGATCCTCCAAGGTTCTCTTCCGCAGCGGCATTGGACCAAAAGACCAGTTGAGCATCGTCAAGAACAGCGCCCTCGATGGCTCGACCATGATCAACGAGTCTGACTGGATCAACCTCCCCGTCGGCCAGAACTTGAACGACCACGTCAACACCGACCTTGTAATCAAGCACCCCAACATCTCCTTCTACGACTTCTACAAGGCGTGGGATGCTCCCATCGAGAGCGACAAGGATCTGTACCTCTCCAAGCGCTCTGGTATCCTTGCTCAGTCTGCGCCCAACATTGGTCCCCTCGCTTGGGAAGTGATCAAGGGAAGTGATGGCATTGACCGATCACTCCAATGGACTGCTCGTGTTGAAGGCCCCGGTGCCAACGACACCCACCACCTCACTATCAGCCAGTACCTAGGCCACGGCTCTACCTCGCGTGGTGCGCTCTCCATCAACGGTGCTCTCAACGTCTACGTCAGCAAGGCGCCCTACCTACAGAACGAAGCCGACACCGGTGTAGTTGTTGCTGGTATCAAGAGTATGATGAAGGCTATCCAGAAGAACCCGATGATCGAGTTCCAGGTACCATCACCCAACATGACGGTCGAGGCATACGTTGCCAGCCTTCCCAAGACACCAGCTGCCCGTCGCGCCAACCACTGGATCGGAACCGCGAAGATTGGAACCGACAGCGGTCTTACTGGCGGAACAGCCGTCGTGGATCTGAACACTCAGGTGTACGGAACGAAGAACATCCACGTCGTCGACGCGTCTCTCTTCCCTGGGTAAGCTCACCCTCATTATCGCACATGATCCTCGAACTAACATGGCGCAGTCATATCTTCACCAACCCTACGTCTTACATTGTCGTGCTCGCAGAACATGCTGCTGCTAAGATCCTTGCACTTGGTGCAAGCAGTGGAGGTGGTAAGCCTTCGTCGTCTGCTCCGTCATCCGCCAGTACCGCTAAGCCCTCATCTTCCAAGGCTCCGACTAGTTCTTCAGCTGCCCCTGTGAAGCCCTCGTCCACACCAGGAAAGTCATCGGCTGCGCCGACCAAGACATCTGCAGCACCCTCAGCTACTCCTACCAAGGCTACCCCTACCAAGACGGCAAACGCCTGGGAACAGTAAGTGGACAAAGCGCTTTCATGCATTGAATGCAAACTAACTTCGAATCAGATGTGGCGGTCAAGGCTACACTGGTCCGACAGCTTGTGTCAGCGGATACAAGTGCGCAGTGAATAACACATGGTTCTCTCAGTGCGTCCCTAAATAAGAGGCGCACATCCATCTCCTGCCCCGGTCTCGACATTTGATACATCTGGGGCATCTTCTTTGTACATACTTTAGCTTCAGTGAATATCACTCGCTCTTCCTGCAACTTCGTGTCTTGAATGCCTCGCCTGACCTCGTGAGTGGATGACTTCCGCTGAATGTCTGGGAGCCGAGGTGACAGATGCGTGACGAATGGGGCATAGCGCGCATCTTATCGCGCCCCGCATTTATCGACCTTTCATCGCGACTGATTGACCATCTCATCCCAACTTTCTTTTGCGCTTCTAATATTATTCTTTTCGTGTAGCAGCCCTCAATCTTACGTGCCTTTGGTGTTGTATACTTCCTGGCTGCTCCACACGTACATGATGCCATCCAACTGCCCAGCCACCTCTGCCAAGCGCGATGATGACGCGTCGAAAAACGTGACGGAACTGCTGCATCAACGGCTTCAAAGTAGCCCCAAAGACAACTGGGGACGATTGTTCGAGTGCTGGGGCTATGACGATTGTGGTGACTGTCATCGGAGTAAAGGCCATTGCGGGTGGTGTGCGATTGTATGTTCACATCTCCTTAATGGGCTTGTTACGCATTCACCTGGGCACCCCTGGGATACCGCGGACTATGACTAACTCACTTTAACAGTCCTCGACGTGCCTCCCATTACCTACGGACGCGTTATCAAAGGCTTTTCCTCTACTTTCACCCATTCGCTACGACTCGATATGCGCTCTGCCATCCGAGCGCTTTGAGCTGCGTACCTCGAGGTTGGGCTGTCAAGTATCTACAATCACTTTCTTGACGTCCATCGTGACTATCTTCTGTACGCTTGTTGGTGTTCTGGTACTGTACAGTCTTGCAAAGTGTGTTAAGTGGGTCGGCTTTGGTGCAAAGGCAAGTAGAGGCGGCTACGCGCTCTATGAGGATGGAACGGAAGAGGTATGGGTGAGAAGAGGCGAAAGTTGGGGGAAGTGGTGGCGGAGAGTGAATGGCGAGCAGAAAGAATTCGAGGTTGAAGAGGTGGATGAAGGGACGCGTAAGAGAGGCTTTTTCTGGTGGAATACCAGGGATGCAGAGAGAAGGCCGTTGCTTGAGTGATGGGCTACAAAGCTGATTATTCGGCCTACGTTGAACGATACTGGTATACTGGCGGCACATCTATTCCAGCGGCTAGGCTATCTGCGTCACTACCGCCTGCTCGACACTCACTCGCCCCTCACCTCCGCGTCTGCCTTCCCGAATACGTCATTATCCAGAAACGTCCGATCTTTCACTTCTCGTCTCTGAGCGATATCACCTGCTCTCACCAGATCCACGTCCAAGCTCTCACGCACTAAGGCCATATAAAAAAGCCCCTCTCCGACCAGCTCTTTTCCTCCACCGTACACCCCGACAACACTGCGGTACCTTACCTCCAAACAACTTCTCTTCTATTCACGACTACGAAGATTCTACAGAAAGCTACTCCATTAGACATGGACCGGATGCGCCAACGCGGACGTTTCGGTCGAGCCAATTCGATGTGGATTCCCGGCTCCTTCAGTGACAGCGATAGCGGCGATCAGTTCAGTCCCGCTGCTCACACCCCGCCAAGCTCTGACGAGTACCAATCGCCTTCCAGCAGGATGTCTCCCAAGGTCAACACCGCTGGTCTTCGACCACTCCAGGAAATCGCTGAAGAGGCTAACATGTGTGCGGCGTCCCAGCTTGCGTTCGATAACGACGATGAGGCCTTGGCTCAACTCGAAGCTCGGATCGAAGAACTCAACGCTGAGTATGAGCAAGTCCTGAACGGCCAACCTGGTAAGGACAAGGAACACGGCCTTGCGGACGCCTCCAGCAACGAGCGCGAAGAACACGACGAGCAAGATCCCGCTGGACACGGCGCAAACGGCCGCAACGACCCCGCCGGACTCCGAGGGCTGGTTAAAGCCCACGAGATGGCAGTGAAGAAGTCTATTAACAGTGCCCGTAACATGATCGGGGCGTTCCCCTCAGCCGTCGATCTTTTCCCCGTGTACAACAACATGCGCTCCGTGGTTGAGCACTCCAACCAAGTCGCGGGAGGTATGATTGGTCAGACTCCAAGGCGTGTCTTTGACCCCTTGCTGTCTCCCCGGCCCTACGGGAATCATCGACGTCAGGTTGGGACACATTCACTATCGCATACCGACACTGCTCCTCCTCTCTCGGCGGAAGTCAAGGCTTCTCCTTCTGCTACACGAGCCGATGATCAGGGTGAAGAGCAGTCCGTGAAGAAGAAGTGGAGTACTGTTAAGGTCAAGTCTGGAGATGATGATGGCAATAACCCAACTGCAGACTGGCCAAACGTCCCTTTGACACACTTGAACAATTTTGTTTGGTCGACTGTGCCGTCCATGACATTTTCCCATGCTCGCACTGCGACGAGCGCATCTAGGTCACCGCTTCCTGAGCTCAGAACTTTCGAGGACGTCCACAGCCAGATTCGCGAGCAGGATATCGAAACCATCCTGAAAGCCGATAACATGGCTGCTCAACGTTGGCACGAACGCGAATTTGGTCCCGTTTCTTCGTCGAGCGGGCCTGCAGCCCTGCAGCCTGAGTCCGCTACTTCGCTTCTAGACCGCACGCACGCAAAGAAGAACGCAGCCAGCCAGCCATCGCTAGAGGCCCATTGCGGTGTCCACACGGGTCAAGATCACAACGTCAACTGTATTACCCTCAAGGAAGGTATCTCACCCATCGATCTTCTGAATCTTCTAGATAACTCCGACATTTCCGATATCGAGTTCGAGATCGAAGACGATTGTGCCGAGGTCAAGAACGGCGACGCGACTGCCAGAATTACTACTTTGGAGCCGCGTAAATTTCTTCCGACTGTTCCGGAACATAAGAAGCAGGCTCGCGTATCAGTAGATGGTCTCAACTATGCTCTCAGCACAGATGGAGAAGAATACAGCGACTCCGACGCCGGTTCAATTCCCGACATCATCTTGATGGACAATGGTCTGCCAGAGAAGACTTCTGATGTCGAGACCGCTACCGGCTCTGCTTCTGCTGACAGCACCCCCGCACCGGACGACGCTATGGTAGACGAGTTTCTGGACTTCACTGCCAACGCCTTCTCGCGCGATGAAGTCTTCGAGATCCTTCGTATGTGTGGCGCGAATCTGGTTGTTGCTGTTTCCATGTACCGCAACGCCCGCAGCCTTGATCATATCCGACAGATGCTGAGGGCTTGGCTTGCGCCGCTTGAGAACGGTGGTTTGGGAGAAATGGATCGCCAGTCCATTCAAGACGGCGTAATGAACCCCTTAATGGTCACTGATCCCTCACATGCCTTCACACCTCTTCACAACGATGAACCTACTGGAACAACGATGGATGTACGAGATGCCGACCGTTTCAACATACTCCGACCTTTGAAGGACATCGCAAGCTCCACAGAGGAAGACGAGTCCAAGAAGGACCAGGACAAGGCCAAGAACAAGACGGGCGCTGTTCGTGCAGCCCCCTCTGCGATTAGTGACGGATATGGCGGTTCAGGTGGGCTAAGGGATCCCCTTTGGGCTCCGTCAAGTTGGGAATACGAGTGTAATGACCTTGCTTGGTTGATAAACCCCAACTCCGCGCCTGGTAATCCGGGGTCTACTGGACCAGGCCCACAGAGCTCAGGAGACGACGCATGGGCTTCCATTGGTAACCTTAAAGACTCCAACAACGCTCCCGAACCAGAAGCTCCTGTATCTACTGACTATACCGTCACCTATTGGGCCACCGTCGAGTCCGGCGACAAGACTGTCCACATTCCCATCAACAGCAGCGACGTCTCCGGTCCCGAGAAGAACATCATCGAGAGCAGCACTGGTATGAAGAAGATCTGGAAATGGGCTCAAGAGAAAGGTCTTAGCGACAAGATCAGCCTTCAAGACGCTTTCGACCTCGCCAAGGACATGCACTGCAAGGACGAAATCGACCAGCCAGTCATTAAGGAGCCTGAGCGTGCCACAGAGCTCCCACGTGCTACCCGCCGCAGCCACAGCCCATATCCACAACGCGCTGCTCCCGCTGTAGGTCTCTCCGGTGTGAACTACGTTTACCCCAACCCCCCGCGTGTTCACCCGATGACCTCTCCGATGAGTCTGGTCGATCCGGCCCACGAGGACGTGTGTGATGAGGGCGAGGGGTGGTCTTGTTATTAGCCTTTTTGGCTTGACGTCTTTTAGGGCTTGGCGTCTTCTATTTCATGCTTTACAGATTTAGGAGTGATTCTCCGCCCGATGGCCTTGCTTTGTTTGTTCTTGATTATGGGATTGCGCATATGACGAGATCACGGTAAAAGGTCATTGGCTTACAAGACTAAAGGATGTTTGCGGAAGGCGGGTTTTCCGTCAGGATGGGTAGTACAGATAGCTGCACTGCTTAGTGCTATGAACGTGGAGAATATTTGTAACTTTGTCTCTCACTGTACAGTGACATCACTAAGCCCAGCATTGATCTTTCAGGCATGGAAGAATTATTCGACCCCAATGTCCGCTCGTACCATGATTTTGGCCCAAACGCGCTGCAATTTAGCTTGGGATGGACGTGTGGTGGATGAAGAGTCGTTCACGATGCCGACAAGCCCCACACTCTATTCGCATATTAACGTACATGCAGGTCCATCCGCAACGCACCCATGCTCGAGCATGGTAGTCCAGATTATTTCCGACGGCAGTTCACATGGTCTAAAGTCTATTGCAATCTTTCATAAAGCTGAGAAAGATACGGGGAACACCAGCACTACTCTGAATCAACTCCACATTGTTGCTGAATTGCAAGAGCTGCGATCCCTGAACATGCGTCCCTCAACCCTTCTCAGCGCCACAGCGCTCCTCCCCTTCGCAAAGAGCGCCTGCGAACGCGAATTCCTCGCGGCCTTCACATCGCTCTACCTCTCTGCCCAAACCATCGGCAACTCCACGCTCCTCACAAACTACATGCTGCAGAACTTCACCTACACGGAGAACTTCAAACCCGCAAACCTTTCCGCCGCAACATCTATCATCAACACGCCCCTCAACAGCACCAACTCGCGCGTCTTCCTAGACCAGTATCTCTGCAGCGCCTTCACCGAGATCATCGTGGCAGACTCAAGCCATCCGTATGTTCTCGGTGTGCGCGTAGAGGGCAACGGGAAGTTTGTGACGAAAATGGAGACCCTGGTTAGTGATGAAGGGGATTGGTTGTTCAATGCTACTGGTACGGCGTACTGGAATGCGATGCAGGATTGGTCGCCTATTCCGCTTGCGGACCAGGATACCCGCGAGGTCATCAAGGCGGCTGGAGATGCGTACTTCAACCGCTTTGGCAACGTCAATGTGACGATTCCGTTTGGCACGCCTTGTGCCAGGCTTGAGGGAGGTGCGTATACTGATACGAGTATGACGAATGGCGAGACCTGCTCTTTGGGCCTGCCGAGTACCGTGTATGTTCAGGATCGCCGCTATGTGGTTGATGTCGAGATGGGGAGTGTGAATATCTATGTGGGGTTTCCGGGGTTGGATAGGGCAAGTGAGACGCCGGCGCCGGATAGCCATACTTTCCGCGTTGAGAAGGGGAAGATTCGGTATGTGCATACTATCTCAACGTGCGAGAACTTCGGATGTGGGTTGAATGGAACGTATATACCGATTGGCGGTGGAAGGAAGACGGCGAGAGGTATCGCTGCTCCAAGGCTTCGAAAGACAAGACGCGCGTTATAGGAAGATGGTGAAACTGGTAAAATTCGCTTCGTTATAGCATGCATCGCTTAGTTTGCTATTCTATACTCGTACCTTCAGGTTCAATCCTGTGATACTCCACCGTCCCACAACCAGTATACAGCTTCCTAGCAACACTGCAGTTCCCGCGAAGATCTGCGCGCTAAGATAACCTCCACCATTACTTTGTATCAGCGCTCCTGCGATTGGTGGCCCGATGAAAGTACCCAGCCCTACTATAGCAAGGCCCTGGCCATTTCTCGTACCTACTTTACTCATATCCTTTGTCAGCGTAGTCATTACAGCCGGGAAGATTCCTTGAAATCCTGAGACAAAGAAGCCATAGCACACCGCCCAAGCGTAAAGGCTAGGCTCGCTGTTGACTAGAGGCCAGAAGTAAAGTACAAAAGCGGAGACAAAGCAAAAGGGTATTAGGATGTTGTACGGCCCGGTATACTTGTCGGCGAAATAGGATGGTACGATACGACCAAGGACACCGACACCGTTCAGTACTAGCAGAATGTTGATGGAGGTTGCGTATGGTAGACCAAGGATGTCGATCGCGAACGACGAGATGTAGTAGAAGGCGAAGTACTGCCCAAGGGCAATGAGGAAAACTCCCATCAAGAATACACTATACGGCATTTCTCTAAACGCGCTGAGTTCGAGCACTGGGCCAGACTTCCTCGGAGGTAATCGTGGTTTCAACAGCGAGCTGTAACAAATTCCGACGGCCAGCATCATAAAAGCCATGACCCTGACGGTCCATGGGAAACCAATTCGGGGAACTAGCTGTCGTGCGATCGTTGGGTAGACGAGTCCACCCGTCGCACTGCCGCTAGCCATGATCGCGAGTGCCACGCTCCGATTCTTCGCAAAGTATGTGCTAACAAGTCCCAGAACGGGCGCAAACTGCATCCCATTCCCGACTCCATTCATTACACCCTGCGCAAGGAAGATCTGCCAGTACTTCGTGCACAAACTGGTCATGAACATACCGAGGCAGGAAACGAGCATGCCAGGTATCACGGACCAGTAGAAGTATCCCGCATCGAAAAGACGCCCGGTCAACATGCCCAGCGAAAAGTGACCCAGCATCTGAAAGCTTCCAATCCACGAGACGGCTGATGGTTCGAGGCCCAGGTCGAGCGTGTAGTACTGTTGGAAGACGCCGAATGTCGCAATCATACCCCACGTGTTGAAGATCACGAAGTGGCCCATGAACGCCTGCACCCAAGCTTTCGTGCCGCCGTCGGGCGGTGGTCCAGGGTCGATGACGGATGCATTCGAACGAGCGGTAATCGTCTTAGCCAGTCCGATTACCGACTTCTTTGTACGGGACGCACGGGAGGCGTTTGTTGGTATCCTCTCGATCCCCTCCTCTTCGTGCTGGGATGCTGGTCTTGATGGAACCCTTATTGAGGCGTACGACGCGTCATGATGGCGTTCGGTATTCGCTTCTCCGAACTCCGATATGGTGGCTTTCTCCACATCGCGGTTGGCACTCATCTCAATGGATCGGAAGGGATGCCGTCAGTTGCCTGAAGTGATAAGGAAGACAGAAGACAACGGCTTCAAAGAAGTGGTGTGGCTGGTGTGTGGGTATTCGAAAGAAGCGCATCCTTCGGTGTTTTATCCGACGGTCAACCATCTTTTCGACCCATCGTCCCCACTCTCCGGCCGCGGAGGCTAGCTGAGATGCGATGCCATCTTGAGCTTGGTTGTTGGATCTGTATGCATGCTGCACGCAGGATGTCCAATTGCGAAGCTTTGCCTGATGATATGGGGAAAGCTTGTGGCTGCTTCCCCAAAATTTCGGCAATAACACCGCGTTGGTATACTTCACGCTAACCTAATTGGGCACGCGTCTCGTCGATCTTCAAAGCGCGCCCTACGGCTCTCATCAATATTGCCACACGACACCACAATCTACATGATAATGGACAAAGTCGACTTTCTTAATCTTTTCGCGGATACATCCTTAAAGCTAGAGTCTATTCGCTCGGGCTACCAGATCATGTGGTAACCTCAATCATACCTGCTTTCGCCACTACTCTCACCGCTTGGCCATCTATGTTGCAATGTCGCTATGAGTTAGAACGTGACATATGGCAGTGCGAACATCTTTCCGTGAAGTGGGGAGAAGAAGTGCGCGTCGTGGATGGCGTGAAGATGGCATCGCTGTCTAATTCGTGCATCAGCAAGAATACCTAGGTAAACAATAAGAACAGGATGTTACATACCTGCTTGAGACTGCGCATAAGTCTGGACCGGCACACCGCCATTCCCGATGTAATATTCGGGGGCCACAGTTGAGTTCATGGTAGGTACCAGGTCGAGACGTTTCCTGTACAAGCGCTGCTCAGGATCCTCGCACATCCATTGCGCAATGTTGCGCATCTCGTTGAAGATGGGAAGGCTTTGGCGAGCATAATGAGCGGTGATGTCTTCTTCCTGACTTAAACAACTTCTAAAATTGTATGTGCAGTTGTCTTGCAGAGTAACCAGCCTTCTGTTGATAACCCGACCATCCTGTTTGGTCTGCAGGTGGCAAGATTTGAAAACAGGAAATGGATCCAAGAAAGTAGTGAGACATCGGAATAAATCGACATGTCTCACTACCTTTAGTAGCCATTCACGAGCTTCTTTCAGTACAGATAATAGCTCTCGGTCGACTTCTGAATCGACTTTGATGATTACAGGCCATCGGCCTTCATCCAAACGTTGTCGTAGTGCGATGGCCCTGCCGTACTCTGGGAGCTCAAACGTTGATCCTTCCATGCTGTATCTTCTGATGCAATGGTTCGCTTTCTCGAGAATGGTGAGAGAAGCTTGGACGGTGTTGTGGTGTATCAGGCGGAACGAGGTTTCGCGACGTGGACTGTTCGTAGTGTATGACATATTGTCGAAAGAGCTGTTCCGAGTGGCGTGGAAGAGAGTCTGTTATGGAGGAGCGTAGAGCACAAAGTCAACAGAACTTGATTGAACGGAGGGAGAAAGGGAGTTCGATGGAGGAAACGAGTTCAAGCGATAGCAGGAATTCTCTGACAGTGGGAACGCGCAGGGCTCTAAGTCAGTCGAAAGTTTCGTGATCACAACTAAGGGCGATTGGTGAAGCCTTCCGGAGGACAGTCCGACGTAGATTTATAACTGTAAGCATGGCTTCATAGGGTCTTATTGGACCCCTCTCTTACCGGGGGCAGTCCCGCGGTCCGTCATTACGATCCTCTAGATGTGACGAAAGGAAAGTTTCATGGAATCTGGAAGCTAGAAAGCGGCATGTCTGGTATAGTGACTATGTTAACCCGCCGAAGCAGTGGGCGCAGACCCAAGTCCATCCAAGTCAGGGTAATACGCCTCACCTAATGTGACTTTGACATTAGTAGCCATACCACGCTAACTCATGCCTTCATATGCTCCTCAAACAATTTCTTCTGCTTCTCCCACTCCTTCTTAAGCTTCTTCACCCTCCCCTTAGCCACATCAGCACCGTCCTTGTCCTTAGTCGGCAGACCATCCTCATCCCACGCACTATATTCCTCAGTCCGGAACATATCCTTGGGATTAATCTTAGCTTGTTCAGCAAGCTTAGCCTTCTTCTCTGCCTCCTCACGTTCGCGCTTGAGCTTAGCTTCGGCCTTTTGGCGAGCGATCTCCTCTTTCTGGGAACGAGCAGCTTGCAGTTCGGCGTCGACCGGGCGGACCATGGCGGGCGCGTTCTCGCGGTCTTCGAGGTAGATACCGAGATCCCAAAGGTACGTGTCGCGGAGCTGGTCGCATAGGTCGAGGTAGTCTTTCGCGGGTGCTTGCTTCTTTGCGAGGTCTTGTAGAGACTGTTGGAAAGTGGAAAGGACTTCGGCGTATGGGACTGCTTCTATGTCTTGTTGCTTCGCGGGGTTGTGCTGGGCGATGATAGAATCTAGGTTCTCGTTGAGATCACCGGCGATGGCATGCTGCCTTACTTGGTCGCGCTCACGTGAAACAGCGTATACGTGCTCCTTGGCGGCTGAAGGAATGTCAATGCCAGCCCAGCCGATACCACCATCCCAAGGGTCAGCTGAACCGTCAAGGCCGAATATCCGGACCATGCGAGTGATGTAGCGAGCGACGTCGAATGAGACATCGTCAGACAGTCCAGCCTTGTCGGCTGAGTTGTATTCGGTGATGAGGCTGGAAATCGCACGCATAGCGGTAGGTGTGTCGAACGAGTCGGCTAGCGCACTGATGCTACATTAGTAAAAGTTTCGATATCCATCTTCTCGTGTCTTACCTGTGTACTTTCTCCTTCGCAGATTCGAGAGACTGTTTCACCTTCTCGTCTTCAGCACCGGTCGAACTGATGTTTGGATGTACTTCAAGATCCCGAACTTTGTAGAAGAAGTTGGTGACATAGCTCTCCCATGATGAACCCGACTTTCGCATGTCTGGTGTGATTTCGATACCGTCGTGCCAGCCTCCGAGAAGGAAGATGATGCGCAAACTCCGTGCATTCCAATCACCGCGACTCAGGGCTTCGCGGATTGTGGTGAAGTTCTTCAAGCTCTTTGACATCTTGGATCCTGATATAGACAGATGACCCATATGAAGGAAGTAGTTCACCCACTGCGCACCACCTTCCTTTTGCCAGTAGGCTTCTGACTGTGCTAGTTCGTTGTCGTGATGCGGGAAGCAGAGATCGATACCTCCACTGTGTATGTCCATCTGTTCGCCTAGAACGGCCGAAGCCATGACTGAGCACTCGATATGCCAACCTGGCCGACCCGGACCCCATGGGCTCTTCCATGCTGGTTCTCCCGGTTTCGATGACTTCCAGAGCGCGAAGTCAGAGTCGTTGCGCTTTTCCGAGGTCTTGACTGTTGACAGGGCACCTTCGCCATCTGCTTGCAGATTGGTGTCACCTCTGTTCCATGGCTCCAAGCGTGCGTAGTGGTTCCCCTTTCTCTTCTCGAAACTCTCAATATCGAAGTAAACAGATCCATCCGATGTGCTGTATGCCATGCCGTTCTTGATAATCTTGTCCACAAAAGCTACGATATCATCACCGTACTCAGTCACGCGAGTGACGACATCCGGATCGAGGACGTTGAGTGCTCGCATGTCTTCGTTGAAGCGCGCTTCGTACTTCTTGGTGAGTGTTGTGAAAACCGAGTGGTCGCTGGCATCAATAGTTGAACCATATAGTGAGTCGAGGTAAGGTAACAGTACGTCCTCAGCGCCAGCATAGAAAATCTCCACGTCCTCAGGGGTCGACTTCGATGGAGCCAGCAACGACGTGACTGCTGTGCTGGCCGTCCGGAGGTGCATTTTGATCTTCGCTTCCTTGTCGCCTGGTGGACCGACACCGTCGACGGACTTGCCCTGGATGACATTGGCATACTTCTCCGCAGAATCGCTGTTGAAGCTGCCGATGTTGACATCCTCATTGAGTAGAGGGAGGTTCTTCTTGACATATGCGTCGAAAGCTTTAATGGTGGTGTTGACAACTTCATCCGTTACAGTTGGGTTATCGGCCTTGAACTTGGCGAGAAGATATTGTTGGCGCCCGCGCAGGATGATCTTGTCGTCAACGTCTGTGATATTCTGAACGAACTTCAGCCTGTAACCGTAGTATTGGGCCAGGATTCTCCGCAGAATGTCGTTTGTGACGTAATTTCGAGCATGACCCAAGTGTGCATCGTCGTAGACGGTGGGACCGCAACTGTACCACTTGACTTCTTTGCCTTCAGGATCGATAGGTACGAAGTCGTTCTTTGATCTCGTCAACGAGTTCCAGACTTTCAATTTTGCTGGGCTTGATCCTTTGGGTTCCTTCCACGGAGGTTGGGTGCGCGCCGGTGTCGCCATGTTGGCTGCTAATCTTGGCGATATTTGACTCCTGTGTATCCAAGTGCAGTTGGTTTTCGAAAGTAGAAGTGGGGAAGGCGATTTGACGGTGCGGGACAAAGACCGGAAAGCAAGTACCATCAATGTGGCGGGAAATGGGACTGTAAGGAGTGACGGGAAACGGTGCTAGTAGTCAGGCCAGGTGTAAGTCCGGGAGCCGCTTACGGTGAGTCAGTAAGTGATGTTCTCGTCACGTTCTGTTGGTGGTCTCTGAGTGAGCAATAAGAATCCCTGTCAGTGAGGGCTTGGCGTTCCCCTCCAATAGCGTCTTCGAAAGCTCCCCGCTGAATATCTTTTTGTTCTCTGGAGCTCCGGGTCGCGATCGCATCATCTCCACATCTTTGGTCTGCCGCGACTTCTCTCACCCATGGCGACGACACCTTCCCCGTTCCTTGACCCGGGGACTTGCGCGACAGCAGACAATCTGGGTATTTTGCAATTGCGCCGCGATCAACTTATTCCTGCCGTCTTGAGACCCGAGGCCGATTCCGACTATCCTGAAGGCAAGGTTGAGAACACGCGATTCGGTTCTTTCCCACATAGTACACTTGTCGGTCAGCCCTGGGGAACGCAAATCCTTGCGTCGCTCGTTGACACCGGGTCGCGCGGAAAAAACAAGAAGCGCAAGAGAGACACCAAAGATGAAGGAGAGGGCACACCAGTCGCCGAGCCGGATGCGGCGAAGAAGGACATCGTGAAGGCTGCCGCAGCCAGTAGTGGTTTTGCGCATCTCATACCACCTACGCCAGAGATGTGGACGATATCGTTACCGCACCGCACCCAAGTCGTATACACGCCCGATTACAGTTACATCTTGCAGAGACTGCGCGCAAGGCCGGGCGACCACATAATCGAGGCCGGCGCAGGCAGTGGAAGCTTTACGCATGCATCGGTACGAGCCGTCTACAATGGCTACCCGGGGACACAAGCTACAGAGCCCGAGACAAACGGCGACGAGGAGAATGCAGTGGGCACATCCAAGAAGAGGAAGCGCAAGACACGGACTGGCGGCGTATACAGCTTTGAGTACCACCAACCGCGCGCAGAGCAGCTACAGCTCGAGATCAAGGAGCACGGCCTGGAACCTCTAGTCAAAGTAACCCATCGCGACGTATACAACGACGGTTTCAATCTCGAAGATTCGGAAGGACCAGACGCCGACTGCGTATTCCTCGATCTGCCAGCACCATGGCACGCCCTCAAGCACCTCACGCGCTCCCCTCCCTCCTCCGCCGCATTGAAGTCCGTCGCTTCAGATCCATCCACACCAGACGAACCCGCAGCCGAAGCACCGCCGCCGAACACTTCCTCCTCGAAACCTTTCCGCAGCCCTCTCAACCCGCGCAACGCAGTCCGTATCTGCACGTTCTCGCCCTGCATCGAACAAGTCACAAAGACTGTCTCCGCCCTCCGCACCCTCGGCTGGGTAGAAATAGACATGGTAGAGATCAATGCAAAGCGCCTCGATGTACGTCGTGAGCGCGTCGGTCTGCAAGAAGAAGGTGTTCGCGGGGGTAACGCGCATCCTGCAAACGTCCAGGAAGCGGTACAAAGACTCAGGGACGTGGAAGGCCGTGCGGCAGTATTCCACAGCATGCAGCGCGAGAAGCAAGAGGAGGTTATGCGGAAGGCTGAGGCGCGGAAACGGGGGGAGAACGTGGATAAAGACGGCGTGGGCCAGGGCAAGAAGAAGAAGATGGAAAACGTGCCGCCGAGTAAGCATGACAGGCTTGCTCAGTCGAAGAAGGACATGGAGAGCCGGACACTGTTTAAGGAGGGCAGGCTGGTGCATAGGACTGAGCCGGAGCTCAAGACGCATACCTCATATCTTGTCTTCGCCGTACTACCACGGGAGTGGACCAAGGAAGACGAGGAGAAAGCGAAGAGGAAGTGGGGTTGAAATTGGAGCATATGATATCAATGGAAGATACCCAGATTACGAAAACTATTCTTCAGAACAGGAGCTCTGTTCTCATTCCTGGAAACAAACATTTGCCTAAAAATAACGAAAACACCTTCGACCATGCAATTTTCAAGCACCCACTATCCCCACACGGCATCCTTTGCCCTATGGCTACCACTCCTCCCTGGTGGTGTGCTGATACTGTGCGTCCAAGCCTCGTTTCCATCGATGAACAGCCTGTAGTTGACAAAGCTCTGCTCGCCGTGTTCAGGCGTGGTGATCTCTACAGCACCAAACTTGCTGTTACCGTCGGGAAGGTACTTGAGGCATACATCCTCATCACCTGTCTCCTTGTAGGTTCGGAAGGGTAGATAGAACATGCTCAACGGACTAGTGCTGAACTCATGTACCGTAGCGCTCGTAGGCCACTTGCCATCCTTCGGTGGCGGGAAAGACGTAGCAGCGAATTCGTGACGATCACCGCTGAGGACTACGACGCCGATATCGTGCGCGGAAGAGAGGTCCCATGCAGCTTCCAGGATACGTCTGCGCTCATACAGATGCCCACCCCATGTGTCTTCTGAGCCGAATTGCCAGTTCTTTGTGAAGGGCGTGCCAGTCACAATGAACTTCCAGTGAACACCCGGAGGTGGTAGTTTGTGTATCCAGTCCAGAAGATCGGAGAGCTGCTGGGCACCTAGCATTGTTTTCGTGGGGTCGGAAGCGTCTTTGCTCGCGGGGGTACGGTATCGTCGCGTGTCGAGGAGGAAGAACTCTGCTGGGCCTTGTGTGAAAGAGAAGTAGGTGACGCCTTCGCGATGAGGAGGAGGGTTGGGCGCGGCGTTGTAGTGCGTGAAGGCGTCGTAGGCTGGGACTGCTACACCCGTCATGTTGCTGTTCCAGTCATTGTGAATCTCATGGTCGTCAATGACGTGGATCCATGGCAGGTTCTCGCTCACTGCCGGCCACGATGGCGAGGAGTAGACCTGTCGGTACTCGCGCCTGTACGTCTCTACATCGCTACCCTGGCGATGTGGCACGTCCACGTAGATGAAGTCGCCGAGGAACAGCATGAAGTATGGCTTAAGTTCAGGTAGCCAGCGCGCTAGGTGTTTCATGCCGGGAAATTCGAGGGGGTGCTGGAAGGGAGTGTACGGGACGCGAGGCTTGATGCAGCTCGAGTGTACAAAAGTGTACTTGTTGTCCTTGAGCATCGATATGCGACCTGGTTTTGGAGCAGTCGTGAAAGTGCCTGATATGTTTCCGCGCGATGTCTCAACGATGTACTCGTAAGGCAGATCGGGTCGCAGGTGTTCGATGTTCATGACGGTCGTGAAGTCGGTCTCGTTGGTGAGCCAATACTCGGGTTGGCTGGCGCGATGGGTCTTATGCATCCACGATCGTTCGGTTCCATCGATGGAGCGATAGAGGACCTTCACGTCAAAGGCGTACGGCTCTCGCACTAGGATCTTTGCGCTGTTTTCCGACACGTAGCCGACGCGTGCAAAGCTCGCGTCGTGGCATTGGTGGAGTAGCGGAGCGCGATAGACGACGTCCAAGGCCATTGCAATCAGAGCCATGTTGATGCCAAAGGTGATCCAGCTCCACATGGCTGATGAAGGACTCGGGAGCCCAGTGAGCAGCGTACGCATCACCTTGGGTTCCCTTTCCTCATATTGGACAGTCTCTTGGACGTCAAGCTCTTTCAGCGGCCCATCATCGGCACCGTCAATGAGCTGTACTTCTTCGCTGGAGTCATCGCCGCGTCCACCAACAGTCTCCTTCACGATGATGTCGAGTTCATCGGATATGACCTTGTATTGCGCCGTGTCCTGGAAGCTGGTGAAGAAGGAGGGGATGTAGACGAGCGTGAGGGCGGTCGCAAGTGCAGGTACGATTGTTGTGGGTATCTGCATAACGGTCAGTTGCATGCATCAAGCTACTCGTTCACTCCTCCTACATACCCATCGCAGGAAGATCCATATGCTCAGACGGAGTGTCAAAGAGCTAATGAGGGTAAGAACATCGCTCGCAGATGCCATGTTTGCTAAGCGACAAGCATCACTCGGCAGAGGTTTGACGGGGAGAGATGCGCGTCTCGAGGCTTGTGAAAGTGGAGCCGTCACGCCAGACGCGAATTACCATGACGTCGTTGGCGCTAACGACGGAACAAGCTAGCGGTCATGCGAACGCGTCTGTGAACGTGTGACTTTGCCATTCACTCACACCACGAACTACAGTCATCTACGATACAAGACCCATCGCGTTCCCAGACTTATCATCACGTAGATATTGTGGATAGGCTTAACAGCAAAGACGAATGCGTCTTACTAATCTGAGGATGCATGCCCGGGCTGACTTAAGCGATATGCGTCTTCAGCTCCTCTACCGGTCAGGCTGAGATACTGAGACATCCTCTTTCCCCGCTTTCCAGATCCCCGCCTCCGACATGCAACATGCGTCTCATCAACACAAGTACTCGGAAGTTCGAAGAGTTCATCGGCACATCAATCCCCGCATATGCAATTCTCTCTCACACCTGGGGTGATGAGGAGGTGACTTACAGAGACTACGTTGAAACCCGCGATGCCTCCATGAGAGGCTACAAGAAAATCCTCATGACGTGTAAAATTGCGGAAAAGGCCGGTATAACGCATTGCTGGATCGATACCTGCTGCATTGATAAAAGCAGTAGTGCTGAGCTTACGGAAGCTATCAATTCCATGTATCGATGGTACAGAGATGCGAAAGTCTGTTATGTTCATTTGGAGGATCTGGCTCCAACGACAGCAACAAGTATCGCTACAGCGGCAAGCGTCGATTTACCGAAATGTCGCTGGTACGCTCGACCATTCCGTCCACGCTTCCCATACTGAGCATACTAGGTTCACGCGTGGCTGGACTCTCCAAGAGCTGATTGCGCCACGCGAAATCCAATTCTATGATGCCAAATGGAATTCAATTGGTCTCAAAAAGGATCTGGTTGATGACTTGTCGACTATTACTGGCATTGGCGCAGAAATCCTGATGCATGAACAGTCATTGGACCTGGTATCAGTGGCAGCAAGGATGTCTTGGGCGGCAAAGAGAGAAACTACGCGGACTGAAGACATGGCGTATTGCCTTCTTGGAATCTTCGACGTGAACCTTCCGTTGCTGTACGGCGAGGCAGAAAAAGCTTTCCAGAGACTTCAAGAAGAGATCATACGTTCGAAAGCCGACCTCAGTATCTTTGCTTGGCAATGTATCAAACCTCCAAGAGTTGATAGATGGACGCTTACCGGTGTTCTCGCGCGATCACCACAAGAGTTCTCCAATGGTCATACTGTGGGACGCATGTACAGGAGGGAAACGCATGATTTTTCCATTACCAACGTCGGCATCAAAACGCGTCTACGAAACCTTTGGGCACCAGACTATGGCTATGTTATGCAGTTGAACAGCTATTCGGGCCTCACAGGAAAATACTTGGCACTGAGACTGCGCAAAATTGGTCCAGAAATGTACCTGAGGGAGGGGCCATACGATCTTTTGGAGTATGCTACTGGCGCCTTCTCGGAGAGGCGACCTGTCGAGCGATACCTCCTTACCACAATACCGGTAATCCCCAGGTTCTCGGAGCGGTTGGATCCATCGGCAAGATTCCAACACGCAGGAAAGTTACTACGGTTCATGCGGCGATCTCCTGTGCGTGTCAAGCTTCCGTCGACATTCAAGTTGATGAAGATATGGCCAGCTGACCGTTGGGACGAAGAAGACCGGCTGTTCTTTGTCTCCGGCGATTCGCGTTGGGATACGTTCCAACTGGATTTAGAATATGAACTCAGTCACAAGGCCAAACAGGCCGATGGGACTCTCATCGGAAAAACCACAACCCTTGAATTCACCCTTTATGCATTGGGATGGTCTCACATACAGCTTGACTCTATCGATCGTGCTTCATTCGGTCTCGTAAGCCGCTTGGAATACGCAACGAGTATTGACAAGATTTCTCGGTGGATTCTGGAAGACGAGCCAACCACGGCTACCATATCCAAGTGGCTCGGAGCGGCAAGAATACCGAGACACCAATGGATACGCTACGATATACCTCAGACCGATCATAGTCTGGTCATAAAGATCGAGAGTACACTGCACAATGTTGTAACTCTGACAGCGGAGGAAATCCCTAGCATCGATGTGTTAGAGCGAATCACAGAAGACTGGCCTATTTTCAGGGACTACTAGGTTTATGTCACAAGCTATTACTATACAAGGCAGGACACCATCATTGTAGCCGTTTCGCGACTCAACATCCTCTTCCAGCTTTTCACACACGATAGGCAGTGCATCGTTTCCAGCCATTTCTGCGTCTTCACATGTCATGTCATCGCCAATATGATTCTATTTGGTACCAACCCGGTTCCTCGACACCCCCAGACTTCTCGCACTATGTATGACCCAAACGTCATCACCCTCCCAAGTAGGTACGCACTCTCATACGGACAGTATGAGTGATTCATATAATCATACTTGGGATCCTCAATTCCGTTCATCTCACGAACAGTTACACCCACGATTCAAGGAGGAGAATAAAGACTCATTCACAACGGATGACAGAAGTGATAAATCTAAAAGCTAGCATAGTATGACAATCTTGCGAACTTTTAGTTCATGCCCGTATGAACCGCAGGGCACCTGTCAATTCCTTCGTTGCCTAGGGTACACATCTTCATCTTTGAGATCTTCGTGGAATCCATCTTCAACATGGAAATGGAACTCGGCGACAGCATGAATAAACAATTGAGGAATACATTCAGACCGCACGTTTTGAAGGTTAGTGAGGAGCTCAGAATTCGTCGGCAGATCAGAGTCATCACATACCCAACCACCTAAAATTTCACTCAAAGTCACTGCAACCGAATCATCTCGAGGCGGGCACGAACACAAGAAGCTCACCAACACTCTGGGGCCAAGCATAGTTGGCTAAGGGTCTCAACACATGGACCATGCTGCGTGTGGACTTGTTTGAAGGGTTGATGCATGGTCTAGATAGAGGATGAAGTGCTGAAGAGGATTGGTCGTGATACATAGCGCGCTTCAGTGAGAAAGCGATAGGAGAAATGACATGCCAGACGAAAGTGTCAGACCTGTAACGCAGTGATAGTGGGGTCTTGTTGCTGCGCTAAGCTTTTCGCTTTAACAGACAACAAACATGTCGATTAAAGGATTCGTTCGATAGAACTGCGATGAGCAAAATGACGACGATGTTTTCTTGCTCTTCCCTTACCTCATCGTCCGTCATCGTATCACCTAACTTCCCATCCACTTCCCGTCTCATCTCCACACGCATCCCTCGCGGACGATCAAACAGCCCTCATACTCCTACGCAGCCACAACCACATTCACATGCACGCCATCCGTCCTACCTCCGCTATCACAATCACAGGTTCCTGCATCATCCTCCTCCACAAGCTTATCTTCCTTCGACGCCGTTTGCCATGCGGCCAAGACGCTCTTTCCTTTTCCAGAAGATATGAGCGCATTCGCGGACCCTAACGTGTTTCACCTTGACGAAGGAACAATCATAACAAGACCACGACACGGAACGCGACGCGACATGAGACGGGACATGACGGCAGATGTCAATACAGTAATCAACGCACCCCCATTGTCGTCGTAGTCGTAGTCGTGGTCGTGGTCGTGAGATTAAGGCATATCCCGGCCACAACAAACACCCAGGTACGCACGTGCCCCACGGAGAAATCTTACATTCGAAAGGAAGAAAGGCGGCAAGAAGGCGATCACAAGGGTGTCGTCGGAACGCTGTTGCTGTCTGGTAAGTTTGAGATGAACGGGTATCTGATCGGGGTCGGTGGTTTTCACGGCGAGAACAAGGGGAATGCGGCTGCGCCGAGTCAAGTCACGGGCGTGAGGGTCCTTTTTGTTCGTCAATTTCGGACGGCGGGTTATAGACAGGGTTGGGTCGGATATTGAGATCGCCTGAGTGAGGCTGCTTTTTTTTTTCTCTTCTGTATCTCGTGTCTATCTGGCAGGTGGGGTGCGTCGTGGGTGTGACCGTGTGATGGTGGAGTGGAGAAGGGATGGGCGGTGGGTGGAGTAAAACGGTCGTCGCGTCGGGGGACAGAACGGTGTTTATTGCAACTTAGTCAGGATAGCCGAGCATGGATGCTGAGAGTGAGTCGAGATGGTCATCTCATTGGCGGTATGATTGATGGAGCAACGGAGGGGAACGCATGGACTACACGCGTACTGTAGCAAAGGCAAAGCAAATTCCCATCATTGTCGCACTGCAGGTATACGCGGAGAGGGCGTTGTCAAAGTCTTGTTCCTCCGGCTCTAGCAACTACTCCGGAGTACTATCGTTTGCATACCCGAGTAAAAAGCATACAGAGTTCACACATCCAGCCGACACGTACGCTACACATGTCGGGTGTCTGTAAACTGTCGGTGTTAGCCGATAGGCTGCATGTTTCGTGGTCCAGTTAGTTTCCTTCTGTTCGCCTCGTTCGTCTTCCCTAACAGGGACAAAACAAGGGTACCTGTCCCCACATCAGTCACCCTGCGATAGCCAAGCCCAAAGAAACACAGCGCAAAAACTGGGTCTTTGAACGCCTTCGGTCCGCGGCAAAGCAGGGTGCTGGTGGGGACGGCGGAACTCAGTCGGTCCTGGGAATAATGCCTTTTTTTCCGGAGCCGAAGGTGTTGTAGGAAGAGGAAACTTGGATTTTGGAAAGTTGAGACCCAAGGTCCACTGTAGAGAGGGTCTGGCAACGTCATGTTGGACCGTGGTGTTGGGTTCGCGAAGGTTTGTTGATGCCTGGTTATGCTGGGAAAGTTTGTGGTTGGAAACCTGGTGGTTGGGCTGCGTGATGTGGCGTCATTGTGCATGCGCGCTGTCGATGTCGTTGTCGCAGGTTGATGGCGTGATACTCGGGAGTACCATGAACATGTACGTCACAAGGCAAAGGTGTCAGCCATGATCATGGATTCTGGTGGAGCGACGTGACAGGCAAAGTGTTGTAAGCGAAGTAGATTCTATTCTTCTCGTCTCGCTAAGCGATGACAACTAATTGGGATATCATGACTGTTCGTTCCGAAACAAAACAAAGTCAGGCTGCAAGCTGAGCGACAAATTGTAAAATGACAAGAAAATATGCATGCTGGATGCGATGATAGCGACAGATGGATGTGTGGCGGCGAACACTTCGCGATTGCCAACGACTGAGCAGCTGGGAGGGTATCGTAACCTCTAGAGGACAAACAGGAACGGAGAGTAGAGGACAAGGAAATGCCATGTCGTGCGCCATGGGTACACCGGGTATTATGCGCTAAGGTTGCTTAAGTGCCAAGGCGGCGAGCAGGGAAGAAGGTAGTGGCTGGTAGAGTAACATGTGCAAGGAAGTCGCATGCTGGGTGGTTCGTCTATGCATTTATGCGAGCGTTTCGAAACAAATTGGGTTCTTGATGCGTTCATAGGGAATCCATGAAATCCATTAGTGACTTGCGTCGTCGGATTGCGCGGCTCTTGATGCTGGATGTCGCGTCATCGGTCTCGCTGCCAGGAAACTCTGGTATGACGAGTGTAGGCTCACGCTCGTTGGCGCCCCGGGCGGTCATCCTGCCCATGGAGGTGCCCATGGTAGTGGAACGCTTTTGCTGCATAGTGCTGAGTTGCGGGACCGGAGGTGCGTTCTCGGGCGTTGGTGCCCGCTTTGACTCGCTGCCGCGAGACTTGGGTCGGAGGATGGTAGATGCGCGACGCAGCTTGTTTGGGCTGGAGAAGTTGTCTGAGCCTTGGATGGGTGCAGTCATGGGGGTCATGGGCGCTGGTGTCAGTGGTGTGGTGGGTCCTCCTGGGGCTCTGCCGTTGATGCGAGAGTCGTATGGCTTCTTCGCTGGCGAGATGGCAATCTTGGCCAGAGAGAGCTTCATCGAGATCGAGCGTAACCGTCGGTGCGCAGCGGGCTTCTTGATGATGGGCGATGCCGCGCTCTTGTTCTGGTTCTCGTAGGGGTCGGAACTGAGGAAGGATAGAGCGGGCGACTGGGGAGTCAGCGGGGCGAATTGTGATTGCCTGTGCGATTGGTATGATGACTGTGATGTTTGTATCCGTGACAGGTCGAGACGGGACTTTGCGGGAACGTATACGGAGGAACGAGCGGAGGTAGAGGGCCGGCGAGGTGGCTCGCTCGGTGCAGGCGAGTAGCTGCGACTTGAGCCGGTCTGGAACGACGATGTGAAGGAAGCGGAGTCGGGGTATGTGCTAGGCTTCTGTGTGATGGGGCTGTGGCTGGTGGAGGGTCGTCGAGGCTCGGGGTCGGCGACGGGTGATGTGGAGCGGGATAGAGGTGGTGAAGCCAGGCGGCTTGTGGGCATGACCTTCATAGACAGGCGCTGTGCCTCGTCGGCCTTGCGTAGCTTGCTGGCTGTGGTAATTGGGAGCAGGTTCGCGACTGAGGCCGAGCGCGGCTGCACCGTTGGGCGATCGACAGGTGAGCGGCAGTCGACCTCAACGACCTTGGGACGACCTGCATTCGCGTACGAGACTAGCACGGCCATGTCGCAGCTCTTTCCCTTGTCCCATCTCGACACAGACATCGTCCTTGCCTTGCACTCCTGCGAGAGATCGTGGACAACCACGTCATCGTAGTCATATTCTGATTCTGAGGCGGAACCGTCGTCGGCAGTGAGGTCTTCTTCGCTGGAGAGGTATCGCTCCTGGAAAACTCTGCCTTCCTTCTTGGTGGAGGGATTCGAGGTTGGTGCAGCGGCGGAGTCTATGCGCAGGGTGTCGGGAGCATCGTCGCACAGGTTGGGGCTCGAGGCGGCACTGTCAGTACTGGAGCGCTGTGGGCGGGCGACAACTTCAGGCTTGGCGAAAGTCCACTGCTTCAATTGCGAAGTCACAGCAACGTCGACCATGATTGCAGAGGGAGAATGGAATTGCACCGGCGTGGCGGGTCAAGTGGGTGATATATCGGACTGGCTATCGGACTGAGCGGCAGCCGGGACGAGTTGAAACCAAGGCGTGCAGGTGCTACGCGCCAATGGTCGGAGACGTGTGCGTGGCTTGGGAGCACCAGGCAAGCCGGCGCTGAGTGAGACTGGGTGTTGCACGGGGTGTTGTGTTGGAGCGTGAGATGTCAGAGGGTCAGGTGTAGGCACTGAGGGGCACTGTATGTAGGCGTGGTGTGCAGTAGGGTGGGTTGAGAAAGACCGACGCT